TATTTATGTATACTTGTAGGATGAGAATGGATAATGTAGAGATTTTAAACATATTTTTCTGCATGTGTGAGTTTTAGACATTATCTTGGTTTCCGTTAACAATTTTATGTTATGTGTGCTGCAAAAATAATTTTTAGTGCATGCCATTAAATTTTCTTTGTAAATTTGTTGAGTTATATAAATCTAATACATTTGCATATGACATGGAATTTACATTTGATTTACTTACTTTCATGTTGCAGATATAAATCTAACAATTAATAAACTTATGGTCTTCATTTTTAATCAGCAAAGAATAAATCATCTGGATATGAATTTTGTAAGAATATAAAAAGTTTTTAGGAAAAAAGTGCTGTCTAATATTCATCTAATATTTCATTCAAAAAGAATAACATAAAATAGATTCTATAAACTATTTCACATGTATCTATAAGGATATGGTGCTTAAATGAATTCTAATTCATTACTAATTTTCTAAGAAGAAATATACAAAGTCAATTAGTCCCATGAGATAAATGGACCACTAATGATAAATAATAAAGCACTTAATTTTGTTTAGTGAATAATGACAACAAATTTCGGAAACATTTAATTTCATGTTTATTAAAAAAACTAACAAAATTGGATTTAAGTATTTTAATGAGAATGAACTACTGTCTTAGCCTATCAAATGTTGATTCTGAAAATTTTTAAAATTATTTTTAAATTAAATTGACAGGTAAAATTGTTTTTATCATGATTCTGAAATTCTTATGAAGCATTTTGGACTTACCTTGATTTTCTTGGTGCAACTTTATTGGCTGTATATTTAATTTTTGTACTTTAATTTGATCATTCAGTCAATATCATATTCAGATCTTTTAGGGTAAATCAGTCTCCAGACAGGTAATTGAATGCCTACCAACTACAATGGCAGGGATTTACTGAGGAAATCCCTTCTTCCTAATTTTTCTCCCAAAGCAATAAACAATCAGCATACACTTGTTTAACAAAAGCCAAGAAATGTATAAATGTTCCAATCCATTCATCTCTAGTCATTTCCAAACTGCTTCACATCCTGCTTACCAAAAACCGTGAATATCTTGATTATCTCAACACCCTTACTAAAAAAAAAAAAAAATTCATTTTGTACTATTTTCTTGCATTTCATTAAAACTTATCCTTTATGCTTTCCTAATTATTATATGTCATCTACAGATCATTTGTAACAACAGTGGGCATCTTTTTTTTTATTTTGGCATATTATGGGAGTACAGATTTTAAGGTTTCAATAAATGCCCATTCCCCCCCTCCCCCCACAAGTCTGAGTCTCCAGCATGACCATCCCCCAGATGGTGCACATCTCGCTCATTATGTATGTAA